ATGACACACAATATACTTAGTGTAATCCTTTAGTACTATGTCCACGTAGTAAAATCGCCAAAGAGAGCATTGCTCATAAACCTACAAACCATCAACATCAATGTATTTAAAGTCACTTTGCCAAATAACTACAAGAGTCCAGACCTGAATATCTCCAACAAACACCCAAAAGACCCAAAAGATAAAAGACCGAATCCCTGGAACAGAAAAATAAAATATCAGAGAGACGACCCAATTGCCAAACTATATATATATATATATATATATATATATATATATATATTACATATTCTCTCTCCTCTCCTTTGGATAGTCCTATCAGGGAAAACGAATAAATCCCTGGCCTCCGCAGATTCCAGGTGCTTCCTGAATCGGAAAACTGGTACCTGCTTAGGGTCCCTTGTCCAGGGTCACGGATGAAGTCCACAACGGCAGCCATGGCGGAGAAGAAATACCTTCGGTACGGTGTGAATGGCGGAAGTGGCAATTCCTTGATTTTAGGGATTGTATAAAATCACTCATCAACCCGTCTAGCCAGCGTGGTGTTTTAAGGCTAAAAAACCTCCTAATAGGAATATGGCGATATCTGAAACAAAAGAAATCGGTCCCAGGTGGGTAGACCATACAGTAATGGCAAATTTCACTCCTTTGGAAAAAAGGACAGCTTCATGGAATCTGAGGAAAGCAAGAAATCGCTAAAAATCACAAGATTGAACATTGAAACTCTAAATATAAGGTCCTTAAGCAAAGATGAAAAAGTCTACGAACTCGAAGAAGACATCAAGGACTAAAATTGGAACATAATTGGTCTAGCAGAGGTAAAAAGAAAAGGGAAAGAGTGCATAACACTAGAGTCCGGTAACATCCTATAATACAAAGGGCGAGAAGAACAAAACCTAGATGGCTTAGGATTTCTAATTTCCAAGAAATATGCATATAAAGTAGAGCAATTCGTAGGAATATCTAAAAGAATTGCAATTATTAGGTTAAATGTAAACGAGAACATCTCCCTGAATATTATTCAAGTTTACGCTCCAACCGCAGCACATCCCGATGAACAGATAGACGAATTTTATGAGAAAATTGCAGAAACTAGCACGAATTATCACAGCACGTATACAACGATAATAGGAGACTCAACGATAAGATCGGAAAACGACTTGAACAAACCGAAAACTATATAGGACAATTCGGATATGGAGTTAGAAACGAGAAAGGAGAAACCTTGGTTAACTTCCTACAAGCCCACAAATACTATACATTCTATAAGAAATAACCTCAAAGAAAGTGGACGTGGCTATCCCCAGAAAAACTCGGAACGAAATAGATTACATACTGTGTAACAAAACAGATAGCATACAGACGTAACAGTAATAAATACGGCGTCAGTAAGTAGCGATCATCGAATGGTTAGAGCCAAATTAGAAATAAAACATAATAAAAATAGAAATAAATTTAGAAAAACTTGGAGTATAGACTCAGACAAACTAAAATCTAATACAGAACAATATAAAAGTAAGTTAAAACCCGCGAAGGTATTAAATCTAGATAAACTTAGCTAAATAAAATCAATAAAGTCATAACAAAAGACCTATTAAACGCAAGCTCAGAAGTGGCAACCGCTAACAGAAAACGAAAATCCAAAATAAGTGTAGAATCACAAAACATGCTTAAACAAAGAAAATATCTTCTGAGACAAAACAAAAGAGACACTGGAGAATTTAAAGAACGTAATCGAGTAATAAGAAAACAGATAAAAGAGGACATTAAATAACATCAAGAAACCGTATAGAACAAATCATAGAGAAAAACCGAAGTCTCAAATGCACCAAACCGAAACTAGGAAAGAAAAACATAATAACCATTAAAAATGAACAAGGACAACTAGAAAAAAGTAAATCTGATATTGCAAACTCAATTGAAAAGTTCTACGCTGATCTGTACCGCTCCAAAAACGATCCCCTAACTCCTCAAAGCAGAACTTGAAAAGGCAGATAACAAATGTCAACTCAGAAGTGATGCCCGAAATAAGCCACGAAGAAATAGAAAGAGCAGTAAAAGAAATAAAAAGGAATAAAGCTCCTGGAAGCGATGGAATTCTAGCAGAAATGCTGAAGGAAGGCGGAGAAGAAGCCATAACATATCTAAAAATACTATTTAATAAATGTCTATTCCAAGGCAACATACCCGAACAATGGAATACTGCTAAAACAATACTAATACACAAAAAGGGAGACACCACAGACCTGAAAAATTATCGACCAATTTCACTTCTTTCACAACTTTACAAAACCTTTACAAAGATTATTACAAACAGGTTAACAATTAAATTTGACGGATATCAACCAGTAGAACAAGCCGGATTTAGAAAAGGGTACAGCACCTGTGACCATCTATATACTTTAAAAATCCTAATAGAAAAGACTAACGAATACAATCTCCCATTATGTCTGGCTTTTATAGATTATGAAAAAGCTTTTGATAGCGTAGAACTGTGGGCAATAGAAGAAGCATTAGTCAACAACCAGATCGACTTCAGGTACAGAATATTAATACATAATATTTACGAACAAGCTGAAATGATAGTGACGTTGGGTAATGGAATCGAAACAAGACCAGTAAAAATCAACCGAGGAGTAAGACAAGGAGACACAAAATCTCCAAAATTATTTACAGCTACCCTAGAAGATATCTTTAAGTCAATAGACTGGGAAAATAAGGGAATCCTATTAACGGAAGATACTTGAAGCATCTTAGATACGCAGATGATGTAGTACTAATAGCCGACACGTGGAATGCACTGAATACGATTATTGAGGAGCTACACACACAATCCCTAAAAAGAGGACTGAAAATGAATTTCAGCAAAACTAAACTAATGTCAAACAAAGATGACAAACCTATGATAAACATCGAAGGGACAGAGATAGAACACGTAGATGAATATACATATCTGGGTCAAAATGTCAAGGTAAGCAAAGAAAATCAGACTACCGAAATAAGCAGACGTGTAAAAATGGGATGGGCAGCATTCGGAAGACTCTCATACGTACTTAAAAATAAAAATATACCTCAAAGACTGCGAACCAAAGTGTTTAATTCCTGTATTCTACCTGTACTTACATGTGGAGCTCAAACCTGGACATTCACCAAAATAAACAGGGAGAAGATCAGAAAAACTCAGAGAGCTATGGAACGACAGATGCTGGGTATCTCACTCAAAGACCATAAAACCAATGAAGACATTCGTAATAGAACAAAAGTAAAAGATGCTGTCGAATAGGCAGCTAAACTGAAATGGAAATGGGCTGGACATAACGAACGTCTTACGGATGGCCGATGGAATAAAGAAATCGGGAATTGGCGGCCATATGAAGCCAAAAGACCACGAGGAAGACCGCAAATGCGATGGAGCGATGATATTAAAAGAACTTCAGGACCTAACTGTTTTCAACAAAAGCTAAGCTGTTTTTACTTAAAGATCTTTTTTCTCGATCTTTCTTAATTTTTCGTCTCTCTTTTGATTATCCGTTCTATATTTTAATTTCCATACTGCTTAAGTCTTCCACTTGTTGTCTCCATCTCTGATTAGGTATACCTCTGGTTCTTTTACCTAGTGGTATCCATTCCGTTATAACTCTTAACGGATTGCTCTTCTCTTTCTCATTATGTGTCCATACCATCTAATTCTTTGTGCTTTTATTGGTCTAACTATGTTCCTTGACCCATACATTCTTGTATTTCGTGATTCATCCATTGTCTTGCATCCTCTTCGTTTTCCCTCTTTGTCCCAGTATTTTTCTTCTGAGAGGATAATCTTCCTCTCAGAAACTTCTAATTGCTCTTCTTCTCTTGCTGCTAATGTAAATGTTTCTGTAGCATATACTACTATTGGTCTTATAATCTTTTTGTAGATTCCCATTTTTGTGTTTCGGCTTATCTTATCTCTAAACATTTTTTTATTTTTGTAAAATACTGTATTTCCCGCTTGAATTCTTCTTTTTATATCTACACTTTCATTTCTTCTGTTAACTAGTGCACCCAAATATTTGAATGTTTCAACTTCTTTGAAACTGTGTGCATCTATTGTCAGTTCTGTCATTTGTGTCTTCTTTGTCTTACTTATGTTTATGTATTTTGTTTTATTTGAATTTATTTAAAGTCCTCTTAGTTTGGCTTCGCTTTATTTTTTGGAAGGTTTTCTTTAATGTGTTTTTATCTGTTGCTACTATGGTTATATCGTCCTCATATCCTATTATTTGTGTTGCATTCTAGTTTATAGTTCCTGCGTTTGGCAGCTTTTTTATTATCTTGTCTAGTGATAAAATAAAATAGTACCGTTGAGAGCGCATCCCCTTGTCTTATCCATTTTTTATTTTTATTATTTCTGTTCTTTCTCGTCCGGTGTCTATTATTGCTTGGGAATCTCTTATTGTCATTTCTATCTTTCTTATAATTTTATTTGGTATGTTCCTCTCTTGTAAGTCTTAAAAATGTTTGTTACCATGTTACAAATTTCAAAATAATAATAAAAATATGATGTTAAAAGAACTGGAACAATTTTCAAAATATTTGTAAATATATTTCGTATAACCCCGTATATTAAAATAAAATAAAAATTTGATAAAATTATCAATTGTCACACATATTTGAGTTAAAAATGAATTTCATTCGATACCAGTAAAATTTAAACTAAATTAATAGAATATTTATTGATACATTAAATTTTTCACAATTAGCTGGGATCAATTCGATAATTTTATCAGGCACCCTACGAATAGAAGAAGATAAATCAAATTAAACGAGTTTTTAATTGCCAAAATAATTATTAAAGTTAATGCATGAGTTGGTATCAACGATCTGTTTTATCAAGTTCGTCTATATTTTTCCAGGGAGCAATAATTAAACAAAACCTCAAGATGCATCTGCTGCCACAACCACGAGAGAGACCAGTGATCTTTGAACGCTGCTGATAATAAATAGTAATTGATTGGCTGCTTGATGTTGCTACAGTCGTGAGGAGGTTCGAATTAAAAAAGGCATGTAAAAAGAACTGTGTGTCTTCTTAACTTTTTTTTCTGTGATATCAAATTGTTGCCAAAAATAGTGTTGTGACGATGATTCTATTTATGTGTAGAATTTTACTTACTTTTTGTGTTTTACATACAATGACAGTGTTTAGTTCTGTGTTAGTGGAAAAGAAAGAAAACTGGAGGACACCTCCGGCACATTTTAAGTACACAATAGACGAATTGTTGAGCAAGGTATTTCCTAGGAAAACTTCAGATGATTACGACTGGGATCCATGCAAAGCAGGTAATGTACCATATAATTTTACATCTTTAGAAACATTTAAATTCGAGATTTGCAATTTCCTTCATAATTTTTATATATTGCAATATTATGACAATTTATTTTTCATCAAAAAATATTTAAACCAGTAATAACATTATCGTTGTTATAAGGAATATTCAAATTGTCATTCAAACACTTTTTTAATCAATTAATAATGTTGTTTAACAAATTTTTCAAAACGATGTCAAATCATGGTTTCTATTTTTGCGTGGCACTAAAATTTGACTAAAATTTGTATTTTACCAAATTGTCAATTTCTTTTTTCCGTGGTGATTTGTTGTTTTTTTTTGTTTATGGAAAACCATCCACATATTCAACTGGAAAATAAGTCAATTTTAGCTTATCGTTCTGTTTCTTCATAATTTAATACTGATTAATAAAAAAATTAGGGTTTTGCTTTACTTGTGGCATCTTAATATAATTTACAATTTTTACTGAGAATTAACCACAATTTTATTTTAAAATATATTTATTTTGACATATCGATTTCCACTTCGGTATTTTGAGAACGATTTCCGAAGTGGAAATTGAAAAGTCAAAATAAACGTATTTTGAATTAAAATTGTGGTTAGTTCTTGGGAAAAATAGTAAATTATACTTATTAAACGATTCCCAAGCCGCGAATGAGTTATGTTGAACTATGAAAAATGTGTTCTACCTTATTACAACCATTAGATAGTGAGTTTTCTCTAAAGTTTTAGTGATATTAATTAATAACAAGTGCAGTACATCCCCATTGAACTATTATATCAATAATAACAGCCAAAATAGTTCTCTCTGGACTAAAAATGTCGGTTTTACTATTTTTTTAATCACTCCAAGATATTTCTTAGTATTTTTGGCGTATTTTAAATTATTTGTAAAGACGTATTACTAATATGTTTTAAGAAATGCGTTTAATTTAAAATAATCGCAATATTAAACGTCATAAAACCCAACTTTGTTTAAAATATATCTAGAACAAGTTTTCAATTCATGACAGAAGAAATATAGCAACGTGGAAAAACCTTTAGATAATAATATAATGTATATATTACTGCACTAACTGAACTATAGCGTTTATGGGGTTTTATTATTTCATATGGTCAATGGACCCCCAAATATAAAAAGCGTGAAGTGCTACCATCTAAAGGGGTGCGTTTTTGAGAAAGGGGTGAATTTGTCCATATACGTCTACAGAACAGTTGTTCAAAATTAAATTTCCCATCGAAATGTCACCCTTAGAGTTAATAATATATTTTTTAATATATTCAAAAAACGAAGCAAAAAAAAAACAGGAACAAACGCGATTTTTCTTTTTTTGGTACATAACTTTTTTCCTACCGGAGTAGAGTTATAGGCATTGCTTTGTAGAAAATAAATTTTAAATATATACATACATTAAATAGGAAGGATAAACAGATTTTCATCCTTCCTATTTAAAATGACATTTAGTAGAAGTCTTTAGGATTAAGAGTATTTGAAATACGATTTTTCCAAATTTGCCACTCACACCATTTTTTGGGCCATTTTGCCTGTTTTTTCTCAAAAATTGTTCTATAACTTTTTTTCTACGAAGATTTAGGTATATGCACATATAATGGCACATTAAATAAAGAAAAAAGAAGTATCGAGTTATCGATAAATAATTAAGAAAGCCCTTAAGAATGAAACAACAGGAATAAAATGTTAACTGAAATAACATTTGTAATATTCGATATGCAGATTATTCTGGGCTTATTGCAGAAAAGATCGATGACCCACAGGGTTACTAGGTAAAGTTGTATAAAACAAGCGAAAAATTTAGTCTCTCACCAAATACACAGAAATTCCAATTTATGATAATAACATCAAAACACATCAACAATATTAACGTATTTATAACTATTGAACGAATATACCGAATAAAAAACTACAATTATCTAGGAACAAATATTAATAAGTCAATCGAATACACACCAAAAGTCAGAATTAAGATTTCACAGGAAATGAATACTTTCCACAGATTATCTGTGAAAAAATAATCTATATCACGTAAAAATCTTATTTTTACAGATTTTTGTAGGTTCTAAAAGGTATATCGTCGTTCAGGTGTCAAAAATCTTGTATCTCAAAATTAGTGTATTTTGGGGAATCACCTAAAACTTCCCATAGTAGAAAATATAACTTTTAAAGTTATTTTTTTTTTCTGAAATGTGGGTAGTTTCACGAAATGAATTATTTGTGGATAGTGATTAAACTCGAAAAAAATAAAGTTAGATTTTTTTGGAAAAAAAATCGTGAGATACGAGTTTTTGAAATCTAAATAGTATTTAATTTCAGGTCTTACGAGGTTTTGGTAGCATATTTTCAGCCCTCTTACTCATTTTTACACGCAAAAGAACAATATTACAGAAGAAAAATAAAATGTTTATTCTTAAATAAGAAATAAAACAAACATTTTACATAAGTACTCTGATATAAAATAAAATAACACAACTATTTTCCATATTTTGAAAACAAAAAATTAGTGCTTCAACGAGTCATAAAACCCATGATAATCTGGGTGAATAACAGTCTTAAGAGACTGCAGGTGATTAAATTTGTCTTCTGTAATGGGCAAATGGTCATTATACATTTTTCTTACGATTCCTACTCATTATTCGTATTTTTGCGAACTGGTAAAAACTGCCACTCCTCCTCAAAGTTTAGTTTGAATTGGACAGGCAAATCTCTGGAATACCTGAGAGCCCTCAGATTATTCACGCATGCATCTCCCACTTTTTTTCCTGAACGAATGGATGAATAATACTTAATTTCGGAATAGTCATTAAAAAATTGGGTGATCAATGTATTTAACTTTGTATGGATTTTGGAAATTTTTACGGGCCTCTTTAATTATTTCCACATAATTGGATGGTGAGTAAATGCATTTATTTTTTTTTCTTTCTTTCAATGGTAGAGTGCACACAATCGCACTCCATTTGCGAGTGACCTTTAACAAAAATATTTCTGTATAATTACCGTATCATTTTCGTTTGCAGAAATGCTGAAGTGCATTAGCCAATGTTACGTTGCGATTTTGTGCCAGAACATCCATCGCTATACAAAATTTTGGTTTGTCCTTTTTCTTCGGCATCTAACTCTTCATTTAAAAAAATCAATTATACAAGATGTAAAGGAGTTGGCATCCATTTTGCCCTCTCCCTCATGCCATACATAACAAACTACCTTATTATTTGTTAAATTATAGATGGTGAAGTTATGTTTAAGCTAGTTTGTTTAAAGTATACCATGCCTGCTGGGACGACAGGGACAAGTTGGACCACTTGTACATCCATCGTAAATACGCACACTTTTCCTTCCATTGCATCTTCTTTATCCTTGATTTTTTCCTTTCTAGCGCGATCTTTTTGGCTAATATGCGATTCATGATCTTCTTGCTCTACATTGCCCAGTTTATGCGAAAAACATAAATCACACTGGTCCTTCCTTGGATGATACACATCAATGTTTGTGTTTTTCATTTCTTTTAAGAAAACATCATATCCTACAGCAAATTGTGGTTCATAATTTTTGTATACGTCAAATACTTCCTTACATGATTGAAAAGTTGTTTCCAAACAAAGTTTACTCGTTGATGAACGGCAATAATGGGAGGGCATCTTTGGCAGTTTTTCAAGGAATGCTTTAACTTTATTTCTGTGTTCAATATTGACAGGTTTAATCTTGGAAGGAAAAGTAGTAGTAGTTACTTTTGGGATACCTGCGTCACAACTAGTTTTCACCCAGTTTTGAACACTCCATTCACCCAATCCTAATGTGGAGAGAAACATTTTCTCATTCAAGCTGGAATTACGGTATTATCTATTTTAAAATGATAAAATAAACTTAAATTACGCCTTGATTTATTTTGTGTTCTTTTTTGCACTGTTGGCTATTTATTAACTAGCGTACACACAAATATCTTTCGTTGATGCCAATTCATCTCAGATCAAAAACCCATCAAAAATTTTCCTTCGTTGATCATCAGTTATCATTGAACATTTCCTTTTTTCTTTTGCTGCTAAACACTTTGCTGAAATACATCTTGGTTTCATTTCCCGGGAGTTTCTCTTTATGGTAACTATAGATCCATCTTTCTCCTTCTTTTTTGCTCTATATTCTTTACCACGCATTCTTAAACATTTTTGTTCATTTCTTTCCCAAGTAGAAGAATCTGCTTTGCCTTTTTTGCTACGCCTTCTCTTCTCATTTTTTTCTTCTCGAAGAGCTTCTACTTCGTTAGGCGTCGCTTTAATTTTTTTTGCGTCTGGCGACATTTACAGCTTCATCTTCAGAATCCGACAAACTATTTGGATGATAACTTGACTCTGATCCTTCGAAAGGTTCTTCAAATTCAATATCGGTGTTAAAGTGTCGATTTTCTGCAGCTTCACTGATATTTTCTATATTCAAAGTTAGATCCCTACTTACATTCTCCATCTGAGTACTGTCCTTGACATCAACCTTCATACTATCTTCTATATTAATACTAGCGAAACATCTGCTTTGGTTGTCACTTTTTTAAACGAGATCCTGTTTGAATAGCAGTACTCTTTGGGTTAAAAATAGTACAGGAATGTACTTGAATGTTTTGTGAACAACCTGATGAAAAAGCAGTGTGCTGGAAACTCAAGAATTCTTCTCGAAAGGTCTCATAAAACTTGTTCAAAGCCTGTATTTGCTTTTTTTTAATCTTCTACATGACAACTCTTAAGTTCTGTGACTTTTATCTCTTTCTTCTGCGATTTTTTTTAGAATGTAAATTTTGATTGGTAGTAGTCTTTCATTCTGCTCAATATCAGAATCCGCTTTTAGACTTTCCAGTGCTGATTTGACCATTCTTAAAGCCCGGCTTGCCTAAAAATAAAACAAAAAATACTTATTTTGTTTCCAAAGAGACCTCGTAAATCAATATTGTAAATACTTGATTATATTTTGGTAGGTAACGAAACCTCGTA